TTGTGATTAGCAAAGCTGAACTTTTCAGGAAATGAATACTTCAGGGTTCCCACCTCAGGAGATAATTTTGACACATTCTCAATTTCAATAAATGTGTCTGAAAGCAAAAAAAAAAAAAAAAAAATCAGAGTATTTTTGAATGTCTTCAAAAAAATGGAAACAGTCTGGGAAAATATGCTTGTTTGAAGGTAACAGCTCAGTTGACTGCAGTGTAAGGAAGTTCAAAGGAATTTCATATCCAGGGATGAAATATTTTTGTTACATTACTCCAACTCCCAAGACCACTGGTCCAACTGATTGTAGTAAAGTGTAATACTGGAGTAACATGGCAAGGAGTCAGGCTGTTACAGCCTGCTGCCTAAGAGAGAATCCACTAGAGGAAAGAAACCTCTTTGAGGTGTAATTGCAATTCATTTTGTCTGCTGGGGCTACAAAAAGTACTATAAGAACATGCATGGGCCTTAAAGGCAGAAACTCAAGGTACAGATTCAAGTAAACTTGCTTATTCAACTGTCTCAAATAAGTGGCTTCACTTTTAGAAATGCAAAGCACCACATTGCTCTCACTAAACCAGCCTGACAGGAGAAAGAGCTGGGTTAGTGCTGCTGGTTTCCCACTCTCAATCACAGCCATACCCAGTGCACCCATTTTTCCAGTGAAAATCAATCCTGAAAGGTTTATTTTTAATGTAGTTAACATATTAATACGTTAAAAGAACAGAGCTCTTAATTTGGTTTTCAATACTTTTTTCTTTGTTTTAGAAAGGGAAACTTTCATTATTTTTTGAAAAGTCTCAAGAGGGAAGGAAACTCTCTCAGTTTAGCACACAAGGAAGCTACACTGACCATTCCTCTGGTTGTTGCTGTGGCTGTGCTGAAACAATCTCTCTGCCCTGGGTCTCTTTGAAGCCATTAATGTTGCGATGTATTTCCCCATATACATATCTTCTGCTTGTGCACACCTGCTTGCATTCCGCTCAACTGTCTGTGAACTGCAGGTCTTTAGCTACATGGGCTTATTTTCCCTGGCTTTTGGACTCTAAATAGTGTCTTACAATGCCTCTCCTGCACATAAGAGAGTCACAAGTTGACTGAAGCCTTGGCATCTTAGCTTGAGTCATGAGAGTATCAGACCAGCGCTTATGTTACATACAGTAGCTTGGTGTTCCTCAGCAGAGAAAGCTGATGTAAGATTAAGTCAACTCAGATCCTGCACACTCATCTCTTAACCATGTTGTGTTCATATGAAAGGTCATCTAGGTCTCATAAACTCTGATGCTTGGATTTCCCAAGCTAACAAACTCCTCATTTGGTTTTCAGAGCTGCCTGGAGTCTTTCCATGTTGGAATTGCTTAACTCTGGAGCTGGTGGTGATCACTAGTGAAATGAATTCCCTACCACATGCATGCCATCAGCTAACTTGGCTTTAGACTTTGGTATATTACACATTACTTCTGGGTAAAAATAGAGACAGTTCTCTCCGTTTCATAATATTAGGCTGGACCTGCAAATTTCTGAAAGGGTAGAATTGGAAAGTATTATTTATCTTGCTTAGAAAGAACAGACAATAGATTAGTAGCCATATATGAAGTGTGTATTAATGTTAATTAATACTTACGCAAAACCTCTACTTAGGAATTAGCATGAGACATTGAAAACTTGGTCCTTTGTATTGTCTGAAAAGAGAGAGCTGCATTTTCCTCTTTGTAATAGATTAAACATCTGTATTCAGGGTTCCTTGTCCTACAGGTATTAGAACTACGGTTGACCAGAGAACACCGTTATGCAGCACTGATTTATTTCATAGTTCACAATGCTACTTCTGGGGAGAGAGGGCAGGCAGGAGGCTGAACTAGTGGGAGACGTTATCTGAGGAATGCTGCCCTTGATTTCAGTGGAGACAGGATTTTGCCTGGTGCTGTTCCCTTTCCTGGCACCTAGCTCATAGCTTCTCTGGAACAGTTATGCCACGAATCAAGAAGCCATAAATGTAGACACATGAACATGAAGCTATTTAGGATTGTCAGTCAGCACAATCCAAGACAAGTGAGCTTTGTATATTAAGGCACATTTATTTCTACAGCACATGAAAGAAAAATCTATGGGATTACAAACATATACTTCCCCAACTAAGCAAACAAAAACCTATTTCTCTGGCCCAAACTCCTGTCTCTGTACCCTCAGCAAGACACTTCAGCTATTTTAATACCATTCTCCTATTTCACTGTCACCAATGGCAAAAATTGTGGGGTACTACAAACAGAAATGGTTTATTCTCATTTCTTCGCTGCCTCTGTGGTAACATTGAGAGTACTGTCTTTATAATATTCCTTAAACATTAAGGAAATACATATAGCATGTATTGAGTGGGATAACCCCTCACAGTCGTTTGTTGTCATTACCCTAATCCAGCAACCAGAGCATTTTGAACAAAAGCTTTTCTCTGATGGGAAGAGCAACATTTTCTAGTGTTTCCATCCAGAGATTCCTCTCCCACATTGCTGCATAATAAATTTGTCATAAGAGGGATCTCATTCAGATAGGTGTCTGCATATATGCTACAGATATATTTGTTATATATAGACAAGATTATTTGTTCTCCCTTCCTTGAGCTAGATCATATCTCAAGCACACACCCCAAGAGAGAGGAGGGAGGAAGCTATTCCATCCTGGAGCAACACAGGAACAATTTCTCCCTATTTCTGTTTTGCTCCAATACCAACAGCAGATACTTACATCCCCCCATTCCTATATGGACTAGGTCATGCTGGGGTGGTGCAATAGTTGGTCTTTGTCTTTCTCCACCCGCTATCCTATGAGTCTAAACCCAATCTCACAGCAACCACAGAAGCTCCTGGCTGCCCCTCATGCCTTTATAGGAGCCCACATTCCACAATTCAGCTTGGTTACTTGTGTTTCTGAGCATGGATTCAGAGGAGTTGTGAACATGAATTTACACAGCAAGATGAGAGAATACACAAAGAGAAAGTGTTTAAAAAAACCCCAACAACAATGAACATTTAGAATAAATTGCAAATAGAGGTGCATAATTTGTGGTTAGAGAGACTGAGTGCTAGTCATTATTCAGTATCACTCATTTCTTTCCTCCAAACATATGTATGAAAGCCAGGAACAAATAATATTTTTATAAACAGGGAGGAGGTTTTCTTTTCAAAATTAGATTATGTTAAAAAATAATCTAGGATGACTGCAGTGAGATTGTACCTATATAGAGAAATTACTATACAGCCAAGTGAATCATTAATCCAAATATAATGTATAACTTTACAGCAAACAAAGCCAGACGTATTAAAAGTGAATTGTTTACAATAGAGGGTTACATATTAAAATGTATGTATAATTGTAACCTTCTGTTAACACCCTCTTGAAGAGAAGAAACACCAGTTCCAGGCTTTAAAATGCTGTGCCTTAACTATGCTCAGAGAAGAGCTCTGTATGTAATGAGAGCAGCAGCATACATAGGAGGGATTCTTGCAGATTAAAAAAGAAAGAAAAAACAGCTCCTATGAAAGTGTTTAACACAAGTTGTTCCATCTTCATTTGTCTGTATCAAAGGAATTCATTGTCATCTCCGGAGGCAAACTTGGGGGAAAGAAAACGTGCTTTATTGAAAGTAAGACGTATGATTTAATCTGATCTCACCAGAATTTCATTCTAGCCCTAGGAAGGTTGCCCTGGTGACATCACACTTTGCATCATGTCCTCAGCCCACAGGCATCCATTGTAAGCTCTAGAAAAGACTTGGCATTAGTTGGGGATAGGAAAACGCACACATTTTGGAGGACTTATCAGGGAGCATAAATGCATCTTCCATCTCCGCTACTAAAAGAAGCCCAGAGCCTTGGCCTGGGTTTACACATTGCCTCCACCTCCTCCAGAAAATCATCGGAGACAGAGAAACAGAGCCCCTCATTTGCACCAAGCTCCTTCCCTAAGCCTTTGGAAAATACTTGGCAGAGGAGAGGAACTGTTAGGTCTTCTGCCATTTAACCAATTCAACCACCATAAACAGCTTCTCAAAACAGTACAGAAAGCAAAGAATCAGGCTTCTATACCTTCCCATTAAGATATTGATTAGAAAAGCCTTCTCATCACCCATTAAACCTGAGTGAAACAAGAACAAAGGAAGAAAAAAAAATCCTTTGAATGATACATGCTTTTTGCACTAGCAGGCTGGTTTTGCCCCCTACAAGCCCATGGTAAGCACCGTTACTCCTTTACACCAAGAATCCCTTAACTAGCCTTCTCTGAATACTTGTTGCTCTTTGTATGTTCACATAAATTTGACAATACAGCCAAAACCCAACTACTTTCCTTGTCTCATAAAGTTCTCTGTTTCACTCATAGAGAAACCACTTCTGAAAAACAACCTCTCTGAACCCAAGCTTCTTTGCTCCCTGAGCGAGAGCCCTGTTGCAGCCTGTCTCGGGTGGGAGCTGGGCCCTTGGGCTGATCCCCAACATTGTGCATTGTTTCAGCCCATCAGGAGCCAGCTGCTCCTCCAAGACAAGCAGCCCACTTACAAGCACCAGAGAAAATGCCAAGATGCATCCACATAGCTCCAGCTTGCTTCACACACCAATACACCGCACAGGGCGTGCACAAGAGGCATATGCTATCTGAGCTCTGGAAGCTTAGTAACAGCCTTTGCAGCACTTTTTGTATATTACATAACTGGAAACCAGGGAATACAGTAGTTCAGAAGATAAAGAGAGACATAGAGAGATCTTATTCAGAGGTGAAACTCTAGCATAGACCCCATTGCATCTGGAAAATAACAGAAATTACCAGGAAAATAACAGAAGCCACAGTCAACACAATACTCGTGTGTATCACATGTATTCACATTTCAATGTAATTTCCATGTAATCTCATTTTAGTATTTTCCATCTCACTGAATAAATAGATGGGACTTAAAATCCCTCAGATGATGTGGAGTACTAATTTCCCAATACAAAAGAAAAAACCAGTCTTTCTTACCCCCTTTCCTGGAGACAAGTGCAGGAAAGTTCCTCTGCCAAGTCCTCTGGGCAGGTGATATTCTCACCTGTCGATTGAATGAAGACAATGAGAAAGTGAAGATTGACTTGCTTGTTATCACAATGTTCCCAGCTGCCTCATGCACACATTGGGAGGATAATTTCAGAGGAGCTTTGTTGCAAGTACCCCTCTTTTCCAATCAGTAGGCATCATCACAGCCGGATAAGAAGCTAACACAGATACTAGCATTCGAGTCATTACAGCGACATGTAATACTACAATTTTCTGGGCTATTGATTACTGCTGTTCTGGCACTGCAACCCAAAACACTGGAGGAAGTCAAGTGGAGAATGAGAAGAGGTGGATTTAGCATGCTGGTGAGCTGGTTAAAATACCTTTGCTGAAAAAAGCTGCTTTGTCAAATTCACAACTTTTGGCCAAACGGTATGAATTTCGAGACAAATGTTTAGCAGGTAGTTTGGGGATTTTTGCCTGGGTCTCCAACCTGCCAAATTAGTTCCCTAGTCACCTAGATATCAATTATGCTCTCTCAGGTTATACTTTGTTTTATTTTATTGCAGTTTCATTCTGAGCTGAACCACAACCAAATTTTTGAAACATCTCAAAAAATAGTGTGTTTTTCTGTCCCTGACTCCTCCTTAGCATTCAGACGGAGGTAAATAACTCTATCATAAACTCTATGGGGAGCTTATTGATAACATAAAACGGTACATTTTGCTTTCAAGACATTTCTTATTACAGTCAGGAGAGAGAAGATGTGAGTCAGAAGCTTTCTTCTCAGTTTCATTCAGTTCATTTATTCTCTTGGTGTACTGAAACCTAAGTGGCTGTTAGAGCTAGAAGTCCCGAGGTGTATATGTTCTTTAACACATAACTTAATTTCCAAAACAAATAATTACAACTCAATTTCTGAGTGTCACCCTTCCCAGGAGCATCTGATGCATAAGCAAAAATGTAAAAACTTGAAAGCTGAAGCTCCCCTGCAGCTAACTGCTCTCTCTGTTTCAGGGAGGTTTACCTTCTACCCACCATTTCTTCCACCTGGGCAGTCATTTCTGCATTTGGATTATTTTTAGATAGTTTCTTCCAAGCAAGTAGACGATGGCAGATCACTGTTTTGTCATCTACAGATCCCTCCAGAAAAAACTTACACATTGAACAGATCTCCTTTAATGTCAGATGGAGTTAACTCTCTGTTACCCCACAGAGAAAGCTTTATTATTTAGAGGTTCAGTATTCTGCACCATTAGGAACTGACTCCTCCTTGCTTTAGCTATAACACTGACCTAATTATACAGAGCCTCAATGCTACCATGCATAGCAGTTTCAAGTTCGCTTGTTATGTGATGCCTGCAACAATATTTATTCACAAGCTATTTAAAATAAAACGTGTTGTTTTACTGCATTAACTTCAAAGACAAGCTTGTAGGTTGTACTGGTTTCATTTCTATGATATGCATATCTATACATATATATATTTATATACATATATATGTACACACACAGGTACACACATGCACTCTTGCCCAAAAGAACAAGCAGTGCAGGGCTGCTTATAAAAACAGCAAACGACGACTGATGCTTGTGAATTTGGATTTTGCAGCACGCACCTGTCTGTGTGCCTTTCACATTGAAAACCCCGCATGGAGCCAGGACAGGCAGCTGCCTGCACAGCGCCTGGCCCCGGCACTGCGCCATGCGCTGCTGCCTGTAGAGATGCCATCGGTCCTGCCCCAGGAGGATCCCATTCTCTCCTACCCAGCTTAGCAATAGTTTAAGGCAGAAGTCCAACTCTTCCACCATCTCTATAGGTCAGTACAGATTTTTATTGCACCTTTTGCACAGGTAATGAGGTGGTGGATGGCTGTATGGTCATCATGAATATCTTCCAAGTCGGTAGTGCTGTGTTAGATAATCCAAGATGTTTGCCAGAAGCTTGTTGGTGAGTTCTTATCTGCAAGACGTCATTTCTGGTAGTCTAAGAGCAAGCTGTGGAGGTTTTCTCCACACCGAGTGTACCGCTTGGGGTACTTGTGTACAGTACACCATGTGTTCCCCAAACCAACCAAGCCACAGTCCACTTATACACCTGGAATGTCTATCTGTTCATAAAGACATACATTTCCTTGTGTCCTGTAGTGGTTGAATTTAAAAAAAAAAAAAAAAAATCCACGTATACTAATGAATGATTTCAATAATTTTAGCCATGGCTAGGTCAATGTATCAAGAAGTAAAGCAATAACTGCATCTGTTACCCTCTTTCTAATTTCCCTATTATCCACCTCAAAACCTTACTTCCTTTCAAAGTTGAAACTAAACTTTTAAAGAGAAGAGTAGATGAAAATCAGTATCAATACATGGAACTCTGTGCCAAGACACACTGAATAATATCAATTTGTCTAAAATATGCTCATGAAACCAACCCCTTGCATTTTGAGGTATTTTTACATAGAGGTATGGTCCAGAAATAATGTAAGGTCCTGGTCCTTAGTTCCTTAGTTAGTTCCCTTCTTCAATTATGTTGTGGGAATATAAACTATTTGGTGACAAACATTCAGCTGTTTGGGAAGATGGGGCTCAAATTCCTCTACTCCTCATTCATCAGCCTTGGAAAGGAAAACATTAGCTAAGAGAGCTGAGGGTCTTCTCTCCCCAGTCCTGGTTTGGACAGTGCAAAACAGTTATGTCCATACTGTCTATAGGGGCACAGTTCAGCATGAGCCAGCAGAGGCAATGTGATAAGGTAGAGCCAAAGACCTGAACTGGAATAATAGCATAAATACTGTTATCACATGTACATGGGACAAACTGTGATTCTTTAGATGTTTCCCTGCAGACTCACCATTTCTCTGCCAAATCTGAATCTTTCTTGCACGACATAAAGCTTTCCCAGCAGAGGTGGCCTGGGCAGCATCTTATTTTTTCATTGCCAGCAAGTATTTCTGAGAAAGGCTAGAGTAGAGCGTGCCAGAGTCTGGAATTAGATACAAATTAATTGCATGTAATTACTCAAGAGCATCAAGTATCTTTTTGGGATTTTATACTTATTGTTATTGTAATGATATTCAATTTGCAAATACAATTATTGTAAATTAGTCTATTGATAACTTCAGCCTTCCTATTGTGTGTGATCACCTCACCAGATTTCTTGTGGTCTTTTGAAACAAGAGGGGTTTTAGCCACGATGAAGTCACAAGTAGAGCTGAAAATTAACTGCTGTTCTCACAATGGCTTTCTGTTACTCTGAAACGGGGAATTGGTAAATTATTAGCTTATGATTAAATTACAATGTCGCTGCAAGATCTAAGAGGTCAAAGTCATAAACAAACTTTATTTTTGTCTTTCACCAGAAGCCTACTAATAATAAACTAACACATATTTTCTTAGCAGTGCTTCTTCTTTGATTTGATTTTATTTCTTATTTTTTCTTTTTATATCCATTTGGGTTGCTCTTATCATTTCATGTAAAGTAGGACTGTCAATGGTCCAGGGAGATGTCGGGAGGGCTAATAAACTGATGCTTAAAAGTCTTTCAAAACACAGTTTTTATGTAAAATACGTAAGATTGGTTAAAAATTTTCTTTCTCGACCTTCCTTGCAATGTGTAAGTATTAATATGCACAAATAGAGAAAGAGGTCTGAAAATGTTATGTACTGGAGTATGCATTCAGCTACAGTCACTGGTGATCATTGCTTGCCTGTTTGGCCTCAGAAGTTCCCTAGGCATGCTGCATCCTGACAATTTAGTACATTGTTTGGTCAATAAAACCTATAGAAGAAAAAACCCTATAATTATAGGGGGAAAACTATAGCACAGAATGGTGAATGCTGAGCAGATGGAGAGGTGCAAAAGAAAGAAGTAATAAAGAGGATATGAGGGGAAAGGGAAAACCACTGAAAGGAAAATTCTTACTCTCAGAGACACTTTTCCGTACTCCCTCTCCCTCCGAAAATGTTTTCTTACAGCCTCTTCCCTGTGCAGGGAACTACATGTCCTCCTCTACATAGCCTATCCTCTTTACATCCATTTCCTTTTAAGTCAATTTTCCATCTTTCTTCCCTTTGTCCATCTCCTGTTTTTCAAGAGAAATCCCTTTTTTCCCACCATTTTTTTTCCTTGTCCAGTTTGGTTATTTTTCTGTACAGTTTAAACTGGAGGAAGGAAAATTCAGGTTAAATATTAGGAAAATCCTCTTTGATTGTTTGGACAGTAGAAACACTGAAACAGATTGCCTGAGGAGGTGGTGGAGATTCCATCACAGGGTGGTTTTAGGGAGTCAATTCAACAAAGATGTGCCAGGGATTTCCTAAGTCTGGCTAGTCTTGCCTTGGGGCAAGAGGATGGACCAGATGACCCCTTCAGATCTCTTTCAGCCTTGTGTTTCTCTGATTCCTTTCACCTCTCCAGGGTCTGAGGGTATTCAGATGGCTCAGGGTATGTCAATGCTTAATTAAAAATTTACAGCACAGGGCAAGTGTGTAAATCTGTAGAGACTATTTTTAAAGGGTCACTGTACTTACATCCAGAAAGGTGCTGACACAGGCACACACAAACACACATGGTGTTGTAAGAGGTGCGCTCATCATTTATTTATGAAGTTTATAATCTGACACTTAAAAAAAAAAAATGATCCTAACAGGCTCCAGCATTCCACAGTTGTTGAAATGTCATCTCTCAGATACAGATATTGATTTACAGTTTGAGACCAACTACATTGTATTCTGTACTAACAAAACAGTACAACTCTACTCGACATTTCTCAGTAAAGGAGAGGGCTAAATCACACTTGGTGGCATTTGTTAGAAAGCACTGAGTTTTGTTGTTGTATTTTAACATTAGGCTATGAACTGGGGAGTCTGTAGACATGGGTCAGTTCCGCCCAGGCAACTGGGCAAAGGTTAAATGAGAAGAGAGTTTTTATTTAGAACCCACAGGGCTGCAAACAGGATTTCTGAAGGAGGTTGGTATAGGGAGACCCATGAAAAACAAGATCTGAATGAAACCTGGTCACTTGGATGCTTATTTGGCATGTGAAGAAACAGTTTTAATCTCCTAACTTTCACACCTTTATTGAGATCTCCAGGCACCTGATTCAGCCACTGGCTGATAGTTACTCCAAAAAATTTTACACTCTAGAGTATGTTCATCTTTTGCCCTTTTTTGAATCATCACTTAAAATGAGATAACCCAGCTGGAATCCACATTGTCTGAAATGCTGAAAGTAGGAGTCGAAGATCCTGGAGAACATATAAGCTGGCACACAGGGAATAAACCCACGATGTCGGTGGTGGATAGCTGACGACCATGGGGGCAGTGAGAACAATCTGATAGTTACATGAAACACAAGATCTCAAAAAAATTATTTTGCTTCATTTGCATGGAGCTGATTTCCAGATCAGAAGGCAAACCCAGCAAAGGCAATGGCAAAGTCCCTGCTGACACCATTGCAACAGCAAAAGAGTTTTCAAGACTTATGTTCAATGTAAACTTCCAAAAATTAAATCCCTAATGAAGAAATCTGTATTTTTTTCATCACATTTCCATTGGTGCCAAGCCAGGTACAACACATGATTGTATCTGCTGCTACTTTTTAAGAAAATCTATAACTCCAGATTCTGTCTCAGGCATTGATCATCATGTACACCATGTCAGGCACACAGTGAATACAACCACCCCTAATACTCCCATCCTTTAACCACAGCATAAAGTCGGGGATGCACTCCCCTTTCTGAGAGTCTTGGCCATGATCTGCTGCTTACTGCAATTTTAACTGTTGTTTTCTAGAACACTTAGGCCTGAGTATCTCCCTTGGAAAGAGCTGTGCACTAAATTGATAATGCCTGCAGCTTCAGCATGATATAATTACTTACTTTTGCTGTCTGTGCATTTGTTGATAGAAAGACAGACCACGTTGTGAAGGACAGGTGAATTTCTCATAACCAGTAGATTAGCAGTATTAGCAGATTGTCTTAAAATTTCCCTTTCTTTCTAAGCTTCTGACTTGGCTGCATGCTTTATTTAAAAAGAATAGATTACCTGCAGATGCCTTGGTCCAAAATTTCTCCTGTTTACTTAAAGAAATAATTGTCTGCTGTCCAGATTTTATTTTGCTAAAAGATAAAATAGAAGATCTACTAAAAACTTTTTACTGTATTTCTAATCCAAAGTATTCTAATGACGTTAACCTTGCTAATATTATACTGCAGAACTTCCATTGAGCCTTTATTTTTCAAAGCAGCTTTTTATGTTTTGCTTTCTGGTGCCACCCTTTATTTATTTATTTACTGTGGTGCTTTGTGGTGGTGGTGGGTGCTCGATTGCACCAGTGGAAGGATGTGCAATCAAACTTGCAACGAGACAGTAGTCTCTGATTGTCATCAGCTGCAGCTCATTATTCTCTCAAGGATTCCTTGTGCCAATCGATGATAAACAATGTGTAATCACTTGCAATTGATTGCAAATCAGATTGCATAGACTGGCATGTGGAGTCCTTGACGGAATAATGAGCGATGCCTTTTGCCCACTCCTAGGTCTGTAAGGCCCACATGCCATTATCTGATAGCTCCTCTCCTCTCTTTGACTCAGTTGCTAAGCAGATCATGCAGGACATATCAGGTCAAGGTTGCCTTTATATTTAGCACATGACATTTTCTATTTGTTTTATACTGGTCTTGTTTCTCATTCTGTGTGTTCTAGGGCTGTATCTTCCTGGGACATTACCCTCTGTGCAAAGTTGCAGAGACAAAATCTGAGGGGTTGGGGGGATGTTTATAATTCAGTCTATCAACAGTGCACTAAATCTATTTTCTTTTCTAAATGTCTCTAATTTTCCCTTCAAAACTGAGATCACAGCTCAGTTTTGAAGCAGTTGTTAGAAAAGTTGTCTGGACAAGTCACAAGTAACAGAGGAATAAGCTCCTGCTGACCTTTTCCAAAGCCAAGTAAAATATGTGGTGAGTTCAGCTGGGTTTTGCTATTTAGATTTTTACCTTCTAAAGTAGTGTTAATCAGATCTGGTTTATTGACCATTGGTGGCCTGAAAAGCACTACAAAAGGTGGTCAGTGAAATGATGGCAAAAATAAGAAGAGATAGCAAACATCTTCAGTAGTTGCTTTCTCATTGATCTTTGTGGCTGCCACCAGGCATAGCTGGCAATGTAATTTAAAATGTTGGTAACCAAACACTAATATTTTGATTTTAAAAGTATTTTGTTTATCTATATTTTAAATACATTGTTATTTATCAATCTCCCTTCCAGGTACTGTAGGATGGTAGATTTCTGGGCCAGAAATTTTTTGTTTATAAAAAAAGGTTGGTGTTTTTTTCATTAAAAGAGATCAAGAAAGATCGTTTAAAATCAGCTCTCTTTCTGGGTGTTTTAGTTTTTCAGGCCTAGGTGTATGTGAGACTGCAATGATTTCATTCCAAGTAATGATCTTAGAAGAGGACATGAAATCCTGTCTGATTTCCACATGAAAAAATAAGAAAAATAATCTATTAAAAAATACTCATGGAGTCGGTTGTTCAACTGACAGTGGGTTTTTTTGACTTCAAGCAAGCAGGGTCTTGACTTGATCTTTGTATTTAAATGAGAAAAGAATAACATTAACATTCACTGAATATTTTGATTGAGATAATAATCTCTATTGATAACATACTTCCTTTTAAACATCTGTAAGGCAATCAATTAGAAACTGATGCACTGTTCTAATCTTACTTTAGAATCTGGTTCTTAGTAAGAACTTGAATATCATAAAAGACCAAAAAGTAGACTTTTATGGAGATGAAGTTCTTCTAGCAAGTATGCTTTTAAGATATATCTTAATGTTTTTTTTTTTCTGAAGAAAATTTGCCTTGCAGTTTATTTAAACCAGTGTAGTTCCACAGATTTCAACAGAATTAACTGATTTACCCAAATATCAGTGAGGTCAGGGAGAAAATTAC